CCCACTGGAAGAAGCGCTGTCTTGGGCTGCACATTAAATATACAAATGCTAACGAAAACTGATAAGCAAAAAAAAGATCCACACTTAATTTTTGTGATAACCACCAGCACAGATAAGCAAAGAAGTCCTCACATAATAACCCTAATTTTGCAGCGGTCCTTTTGATAATCTTCTAAAATCATCGAGCAGGTCCCAAGTTTTTGATCACTAATACAGAAAACGGACATATCTAAGTAATAAAACTTAGTAATACACTAATGTTTTAAGTAAATTTACGACTTTGTATTAAGCTGCATTCATAGCCATCCCGGGCCGCATGCAGCCTGCTAGCAGCAGTCTACTAGACCCCTGGTCTAGTACATGGACCTAAAACAAAATACAGTACAAAAGGATGGGGGCTAGACTTAATTGCCAAGTTGCTTCTACTAGCAGATGTTTCAGAGGTTCTTCAATGGGAACTGAAACAGGAAATGATGGAGCTGGTACCCTAACTGGTAAAAAACTAAGACTCAAAACTATAGATCCCAATGTCTGAGTCAGAAACCCCTGGAATGGGATTCTGCTGAACCAAAAGATGGCAACATTCCAGGCGGAAGACAGATCTCTGACAAAGTTTAAGGTAGAAGATAAAACAATTGAGCTACAAAATGTCTTAAATTTTCATTGATCTGTTTCTCTCAGTTGAGAGTGGAAAAGTGTGTGCAGGGAAGATCACAGACAGGAACAACATGTTTTTAATTGTGGGAAGTACATTTTAGTTTGTATGAGCTCCAGGCTGTGTTTTCACAGACCTTCTAAAACAGAGCCATAACTTTGAAGTTTTGTGTTCTTGCCAACAAACATTTTTTTACTGGTTCAAAGATACATTTTCAGGGATGATTTCCTATTTGAAATAGTTGTTTCCCAAGTGCAATATTGAGAATACTTGAGACAGAACAATTGCTAAAAGAAAAACTGGTATAAGTATTTAAGGAGAAACTTTTTATAAAAAATGTGTTCTAAAGATAGATAAAAGTCTACCCTATTAGCCAGGTAAAAGAATATGTGAACTTGGGGGCTGTGTCTGAAAAGTTGTAACATATTTTTCATCATTTTCAGTATGATCCATAGTCCCCAATTACACGGAACTGAAATAGCCTTGAGACATTTAACTGAAAAATGTATTCTGATGTAATTTGTGAAGTGCTAGATGACTTCCGTGACTAGGAGCTAAATAAAGTGAAGGAAGACAGCCTGGCTTCTTTAAGGTCAGAGGACTGCCAAATGCACCTGCTGGGAGACGTGGTCCTCCGTGGGATTCTCTCTCATCTATGCATTTTGGTGAGTCTGCCAAGAATGCATCTAACCACTTCTCAGGTTGTGTTTGTAGTAAAAATCCTTGAGGGATGAGGCAATGTCTACCTTGAGACACAAAGTAAGCTTGCTTACTTCTAGCTAGAAAATAGGACATCCCCCAAACTCGAGTTCCTCTCCTACAACAAAATTCACTGCCTATGCAGGCATCCAGCTAAGCCCTCAGCAAAACTCACCATCTCCACCCCAATGGGACCAGGGAGCTAGGAAGGAACCACCATAACATGCTCTCCCAGGCGACGCTAAAGATGAGAAGCTTGTATGTGAGTATGACAGAGTGTTTACATAGGAACCCTCCCCCCATCCCACCTGCGGTTCCTTCAACAGACTTAGAAAAAGGAGGCTGTGTAACTCAGCTCCTGAATGACAAAGGAAAATGAAAAGTGACAGATAAAGGGTGAGTCCAAGGTGATCAAACGTCCTCTTCCCAGGAAACCATAACCTTCACAGAAGTGACAAGGAAAACGGCCGGGGGCAAATCCGATATGTCCCTCAACAGTAGTGTTTCCTTGTCTGAAGAAGATGCTCATTGATATGTAAAATAATAGCCTCTAGTGCCACCAGCCCCCAAGCAGAGGATTAGTATGAAGCAGTTATATTTTCTAGACGGCATGGATGGGGCTATTAGGTAAATACCAGGCAGTTCAAAATAATTACTGGTCCAAGCCCCCATCCCATCAATGGAAATGGAAGCCCAGAGTGCTTTGGTGACCTGTTTGAACCTAGGCAAACTATATTCCACACGTAGGGGTCTATCTTACGGAACCCAATCCACCAAGCAACCAGCGAGTAAATGATCTGTGCTCATCCCTGGGAAGACCAACCATGTGGTTACAGTATAATGAAAACTAGTCAACCATGGGGCACTCTAATTTATGTAAAAGTTTGGATATCTGCACTCAAGGTCTCAGTGGCTTGTAACTTACTAATTTAAATTCTCTGAGACTGTTTTATATGAGTTTGAAAACTTCTTGGGATAGTCTAAAAGCCATCTGCAACTTATTTATAAAGGTACTCAGGGACTTCTAAATTGAATGTGATGCAAAACTGCAAATGAAATAGATTAGAAACAAATGTACAATGCCTTGTGTGAACCAGACAACGTTATAAATCATAGAAAATTTTCCACATCAACTTCTGGAGTAGTTTTTAAAAATCTATGGTAATCATGGATATTATCTGAATTGTGTTTGGGGACATTTTTAATTGGTTTTGGAAAATTAGGCTGATAATATACTGAGTTAATGAATATTTCTACTTAGTTAAAGATCATATATGGGATTTGGCTTATATGAAATTCTGAGACAGTGCCTGATGCGTCCCCAGAGGGAAACGAGCCATTTCTTCTTTTTAGGCCCCTAGTGTGCTAGTGAGATTGACATGGGGTAGTCGGACTTGCACACTCAGGAACCAATTCCAGATGTTTAAGCAGAGAGTAATAATATAAACACACGTTTTAATGGGAAAATGTATAGCATGGCACATTAAAATCTGTTACGGGGAATAACTAATGTTTCCCTGTAAGAACAAGGTAAAAAGAAGTCTAATTAAATCAGAAATTAATTTATAAACAAGAAATGTTCTTCCACTGTCATAAAAGAAGTTCTTTTCTATCCAAGGGACCATATAAAACAATTAATTATATCCCTAGCACCCTGTCCTGGTATCTAATATTATTATCACACTTTTGAGATGATTTATTTTAATTCCTAATTCTCCCTAGGGGCACCTTACCCTTTTGACTAAAGTGTGCCCCCAGGCTCTCTCTTCTTGGTTACCAGACTACAGCAAAAGCCCTTTTGATGTTAAATTTGTAACAAAATCTACCTTCCTTGAGGATTACATGAATTTATATATATTTTAAGAAAGCTGTTCCAGAGATTCATGAACTCAGATGTCGTTGGAGTTTGTTTCTTCCAGTACCTGTTTTAAGCACAACCCGAATTTCATTGTGTTAGAACTATATTACTTTTATCAGGAAGAGGAAGGGGTAACAAAGGCAGGCCAAAGAAGAACTGTCTGTGCTCCAAGCAAAAGCAGCCTTTCCACCTCCTGCCAATCCACCGACATTCTCTAGCACCAGGAAACAAGTATCACGCTCTAGACCCAGACCACCTCTTCACCTAGGGAGCTTCCCAGCAGAAAAATGCTTGAATTCTTCCACATACGGGTACACTTTGTGAGAAAACAGAGAACAAGGATTACCTTCTTTGAAAAATAAAGAGAATAACAATAATAAATTAATTTCTAAGTACTATACATCTGGAATATCAAAAAATAAGTAGCTGAGAATCAGAAGAGTCTGTGAATATTAAAAAAATAAAAAGTCCAGAAAACACAAACATAGAAGAAACTGGGGGGAGTCTAAGTTAAAGCAGAAAAAAAGTGCTATAAGGGTTTTTTAAAATTATAAAGTACTCTAAAGACAAAGTACTTAAGGGCAGATGAAGAACCTCCTATAAATAATCATCAGAATCTGAATAATAAACTGAAATAGTCCCCTTGGTACACTGTAAAGTATGCAATTTTAATTACGTGATTTTTCTAGCTAATTTCTGCTTCAAAAACAGTAAAGTACTTCTGCTTCCAAGGTGGCAGAGACAAGAACTTTTCTGAACCTCTCATATACTCACTGTCATCAAAATTTAAATTAGCGGAAACATGCTTTAGAGTTAAATCACAATTAGCCCTTAGACCAGCAATTTTCAATGGGTGTGCTGCTAGAATTTTTAAAACATGAGATACCTGACTCGTGTTTTAAGGCACTGACCTCTTCTCCCTTAGATTGTCAAATAAAAAAATGAGAACAATCAATATAACAACAGCCATCTGGTGTGAATGAATCAAAATTATACCTATTTTTTTTGTCAAGTGAGCAAAAAAATTTTTTTTGGTGTGCTGTGGAATTTCAGTAATTAGTTTACGTGTGCCATGAGATGAAAAGATTGAAAATCGCTGCCTTAGACCTATTTGCTGGGAACCTACCAAGTGCCGAACATGGGCGGACGGCAGACACAAAACAACAGTGTGCATCCGTAAAGCACCTTTTCCTTTTCAGGTTCTAAAATATACATTTTACAAACTATATTTGTTTTCAGCATTCACTGCACGTGCTGAAGACATGTATTATTTATAAATTGGTCCACTCAGGAAAGTTTTAGCCCTTAAAAGACAAAATGTATCCAGTTGTACTTGTGTATATAAATTTTACATAGTTATGTATGGAAGTCAATCAACAATGATAAACACAAACAGATTGTCTGACAAAATAAAACAACTATTTTTGGGGAACAGAAATGGAACATTTGTCAGAATATGTCTACAAATAATTAATCACTTTAGCACAATAAAGATATTCTTATTACTAGAATGTCTTATAAGAGCATATTCATTACTTTCTAGCCATCTGTCACCACTCCTCCCCAAAAAGCTAATTGGGGTTTCATCCAATCACACATTATAAATCATGCAAATGCGGATGGCAAAAAATGCAGTCTAAAGAAGTTAGTATTATTTTGTATTTTAAAAATCACAGGCTTCAAAACTAGCTTTTCGTGATCTAATAATTACCCTGCTTATTTTTCCCATCCTTTCCCAATTATTATTAGATAGTAAATTCAGGAAATTAAAATTAAAAAAAAACTTACAGGTAGTAGAGTTTTCCTGCAGCAGGAAGTTCCCTTTTCCGGTAATCTACCCCGGAGTCTAACTGGACCGTATCACAGTACTCCTACAAATCAAACACATAAAATATCTTTTTAAACAAGTTATGGCTTAGAATTATAATCTTCCTGCTGTCTTATGTTTTTAATTTTTGAAATCTTTCTCAACAAAATTATGAGTTTAGGACAAAGCAATAGAACTCAAATAAGAATCATAAAACTCGAATATTAAATATATAGCAAGCCAAAAAAATCAGTTTGAAAAAATTAAGATTTGCCGCATGCCTTCCTGAAAGTTGCTAATAAAACAATGCTGTGAGCAAATTCCCCATATAACTGCTTTACATTTTTTATGTTCAAGTCATACCTTTTTACATTGTTTTTTAAAAATTATTGTAATTTTTCCATTGCCACTTGTCCCCCTTATACTCCCCTTCCCACTGCAATTACCACACTGTTATCCATGCCCATGATTCCTTTTACCATTTTGCTCACTCCCTGCACCAGTACCGCCACTCCCAGAGCTCTCAGCCGGCTCTCTGTGAGTCTCTCTATGTTGCTTGTTAGCTCAGTTTGCATATTAGATTCCATACATGAGTGAAATCATATGGTACTTGTCTTTCTCTGACTGGCTTATTTCACTTAGCATAATGTTCTCCAGATCCATCCACACTGTCATTTTTTTATAAATCCCAATTTCTATTACCTGGCAGTAAGAAGCTGGAAGCTATCAAAAAGAATAACTCATGGGTCTTAATCATCACAATAGTGAGACACAGGCTAAGCCAGTTGGGCCAGAACATTATTGTCCACATTTTAAACCAGATGATCATACTCAAGGGTTGCAATATATACATCTGTCCAGAAGGTATCCAGCCATGTAATATGAAAAATAGAGACATTTATTGAAGAAGATATAAGAAACATTGTACATAGAACAATGATGCCTCAGTCCCCTTTGAAGTAGGCACCTTGGGACCTCACACAGTTCTCCCAGATGCCATCAGCTACCCTGTCATATTCTCCTGAAGCTCACTGATGGCCTGAAATCTCTTCCCTTTCAAAGGTGATTTTAGTTTTGGGAAAAACCAGAAATCACAGGGCACCAAATGTGGGCTGAAGGCGACTGAGTCACCTGGATGATTTGATGTTTCACAAAAAAACTCTACACAAGAGGTAATGTGTGAGTGGGTGCATTGTCATGATGAAGCTGCCAGTCACCAGGTGCCCGTAGCTGCAGCCTTCTGAATCATCCAAACAGTTTCTGCAGAGGAACGTTCAAGCTTAACGCAAAATTTGATGCAGATTTGTTGTTCTCCTCACTCAGTCATTTTGAATGTGACTGCCACACAGTACACACGCTCATTCATCAGTAGCTACCACCCCCACTGACTAGTACAGTGAAGGTGTCAATGTTCACGCATGTGCATTCCAGTCCACTGTCCTTGGCTGCCATGTTACACTAATGTGGTACAAACTGTTCTCATTATATTAACAATGGCTAGACTTTTTGCAGACAAACCTTCTGTACTTCCTTTCACTTCCAAATGATGGCTACTGTCCTCGTCTTTCAGTTCCCTCTCCAACCATCAAAGTCTTCAGAGTTCTTTCTGCAGTGAACACCTCCCTTCAACCTGAGTCATCCTGTGCCACTGATGTTCTTCCCGCCTCCCAATTACTCCTTCCTTTCCACGCTCCCCTCCCCAGGCTGCTTACGTGCACGGACATATCACACATACCCTCTAAAACTCTTACTACAACTTCTGGTCAGTTGACTTTATTTCAGGAGTACATATATCAGATAGACAGATAGACAGACAGACAGACAGGCATAGATAAATTCAGTCCAGTAAGACAATGGTGAGCAAGGGTTTTGGGGACAATTCAAGAAACATTTACAGGCTGATCTTTTTGTCTTCATTCAAAATGAAAATTGCTTTATGAAAATTCATGAGGAAAAATTGTATTGTAATAACTTCACTACTTTTATTAATGAAAAACTGCATTTTGGAGCCAAGGTAATTGTGGTGAATTGCAAATGATGACTACAATAATCTCTCCATCCTAATATGTGCCATTGACATTCCAACCATTGAGAAATGATGTCTGTGCTAGGGTAAAAATATTGTTATGCAATAATATCCAAGGTGACATTCAAAGCTGGATGGATGTCACCTACTTGTCGGCTGGAAGGCTTGCTCTGGAATCCTGATCCATCAGGTAAATATCAAACTGCCTGGAGGCAACCATGCCATGAGAGAGCTTAAAGCAGCCTATGCAGAAAGTTGCCCTGGAGAGGCCCTGAGGTGACATGAACAGAGAGGTTCCCCATGGGGACTGGTCTGACCAGTCCCCAGCTGTTCTAGTTGTAGCCACTACGGTACTGATGGAGCCAAAACTGCCAGCTGAGTGTTTCTCAAATCCCTGACCCACAAAAACTGGGGAAGAGAATGAAGTAATATTTCTTACACCTCTAAATTTTGTGGTCATTTGTTACGTAGCAATAGATCATCAGATCTTGGCACATTTGAGATACAGCAACATCACTTCTCCCTGAAATTGCCTCCTGGGTTGTATGGCTGTGCTTGTATGGCAGTAGATGTTTATCACCGGCACCAGCAGGAACAGACTGTACACGGCAACAATGACTGCATTTTCCCTCCTCCGGCACTGCAGCTGCTAGTGGCTCAGGGAAGTAAAATGCAGTGACATCCCTCTGGGATCGAAGGGTTTCCCCCAAGACTGAGGGGTTTTCTGGCTGTAGGGCTCTTAGTGCTAACACCAGGACAGTTCTGGACAAACCGGGAGAGTTAACCACCCTAGAAGTGAAGACCCAGACGTCTTGGCTGGAAGGCTGGAGCAGGTACAGCATTTTGACTTATACTTGACCCTTGAACAACACGGGTGTTAGGGATGCCGATCTCCTGCACAGATGAAAATCCACATATAACTTCTGACTCCCCAGAATCCTAACTACTAATAACCTACCATTGACTGGAAGACTTACACATAATATAAACAGTCAGGGAACACATATTTTGTATGTTATTTGTTACATGCTGTATTTTTATAATTACGTATGCTAGAAAAAATATTAAGAAAATACATTTATAATACTTATTGAATAAAATCCACTTAAAAGAGGGCCCAGTTCAAACACATCCTGCTCAAGGGTCAATTATACATTAGAAATTGTGAATTTGATTAGTATAAAATAATCTCCAAGAAGAAGCTGGTCTTCTGGGAAAGCCTCTGAAGCTGAGCCTTTGAACTTCATATGTGAAGAACCACCACTGAACCTAATAGTCATGCCACCCTATAATGCTTGACCTGAGCAGCCAGTCGGCCTCCCCGTACACACCACCCTAGCTCACTGTTCTAAGTTGCTCAAACCCACACCCCAGGCCTCACTCTTAGGACTTGGATCCTGTAATTCATCTCATCAAAAACAAAAACCAAAACACTTTTGCCCATATAGATGCATTCCACTCTCCCCTTGCCTCAGAGGATCTGTAGAAAATACAAAGGTATAGCCATATATCTCTCTTCTTCATCTGGAGTAAAGTACTAAACCTGGGGAAAAAACATACTTCCTCCCCCTTGCCCATGCTATAACTGTGGGTGCTCGGCCATCCAGTACAAAGAAAGGAGAGGCACTTGTGTAAGCAGGACTTTGTTCTCTCTCTCTCTCTGAGGGACAGCTGGGAAGTCTGTCCTGGTAAAGGCCAATTATTCATAAGCCACCTGTATCACAGATAATATAATAAATATAACTTAAAGATATAATAAACATAACTTAAAGAGTATAGCAATTTGATTGTACATTTCCCCAGGTTCTCTATTTCCTGTAAACCACAATTTATCTTATATGACTCAATATTTCTAATTTAGTCAAAAGTGTTTCTCTTGGGTTTTTTTTTGCAATTAAAACAATAAGGTTAATGGAAGTTACACAAGCTTCAATTTCACTTTCTGGGTAACTTACTTTCCTCTCACATGAGTGATTAAGCCCTGCCAAATGATTGCATTTGTACATTCACTAATCACCACCAAGGAATACCTAATCAGCAGCAAAGGAACTATAACCAAAGCCCTTAAATGTTAGCTCTTAATTGTCTGAAAAATACTAACACTCAGTTTATATTTTTAAAGAAAAATAAACCTCTAATTTTCAGATTTTATTCCTTTAAGCTAGATTCTTCAAAACACTTCGCAGAAGGGTGGAGGAGGATGAAGGCTAGGCCATTTCCAAGTTGAGAATGAATCTAGTTAAAGAGGTATGGTCTCTACGTAATTTCCTAATTTGAGGAATATTACAGGACCTGTGACCTCTTATCATCATCCAATTCAAATGTGTAAAACTAATCAGCTACCAAAGAAAATGTATTTTTAAATAGCTTATTTATGTATACAAAAGATAAATACAATTACACAGCCCAAAAATGAAATTATGAAGTTTGGGGAAGATGTGGGGGAAGGTTAACACACCCCTGGGAGCACACTCAAGAGTCAAAGGCCTTCGACTTGGGAAAGAAAAATGTACTACTAAAAGAACCATATTCCAGCAGTTTACATTTTCCCTAAGACCTATTGTGTATATTTTTAGCAATTCTGAATAATATCATGAGGGTGACAACAATGATGCTGATGACGAAGATAGAAATAGAAAGAAATAAAGATGAAATAGAAAGAAAGAGAAGAAAAGATAAATTGGGATGTTATATGCATAGTTCTAGGCTTAATTCCTTTTGATATCTTAGAAGTTTTATATGTGAAATAACTTTAGATTTAAATACAGGAGACATATGCTGCATACTGTATCGTTTTGCTTGCTAAGAATACAATTTTACATGTAAATGGCAAGTAAGAGTACAAGAAATATATTGAACAAAAAAATGTGGAAGGCTGGGTGGAGGTGTTTTTCTTTGGAGGCAGATATAGTTTCCGGTAAACATACTCAAGCAGCTATACATTCTAAGGTAACTGTTTCAGTCTCATTTAAAACAACCATGTGCTACTACTTTTAAGCTTAAGCAATGATATGTAAAAATTCAATACATAAACTTCT